TATAATTTTCTTGAACTTTACTTGTTTCTATATTTTTTTAAGGTTAAGCATGAAACTTGAGATTTTTTGCATTATTCAGTTTAAATCTACCTCTTTTCAACCATATATAGGAAGTACTATTTACTATTTTATATACTATTTATATGGCTTCAGTTATATATTTTACTTTTCAGAGTTTTAGAAAAAAATTATATTCCAACTTGCTGAAATGAAAAAAATTTTAGTAGATAGAACTGCACTGTTCTCTAATAATCCAGAAGAAGGTTTTAAACAACGTAAAAGTTCAGATAAATTTAATGTTTTGAAAAAAAAAATTCGCAAATGGAGATATCCAATACATCACTTTTGTATACATGAGTTTCAACTTTGTATTTTATATGTTACATATTATTACAATATTTATTTTAAATTGTTATAAACATTTTCAATGTTTCTAATACATTGTTTCTTTTTAGGTAAAACAGTTATCATTAATTGGGGGTAAAAATCTAGCTGATACAATTAAAAATATTTTGCTCTTGTAAGTAATTAGCAAAAGTTTGAATTTTAATATTTATGATTGACAGTAGAGCATTTATCTTCTTTTTTATATATGTAGACTGCCAACAGACACTATTTTGTCAGAATACAGCATGAATTGTTTAAAGAAGAAAAAAAAGTTTAAATAGTTGACAAGTCTATGAAACTCTGTCACTGGTATTCTTATTAGCTTATTAATGTTTTTGATTAATTAAAAATTAAAAATGATGTTTTAATTAAAAAAAAAAAAAAAAATTTTTTTTGGCTCTATAACATGACATGTATTCAAGTGTATGTATGACATATATATTTTATTTTATGATCTTATTGAAACATGTTTTGTTGTTTTTATTAGAAGCTGCTTTAAAGTCAAATAATAACTTAACCAAAATGGATGCTATCCAACTTATTGGGAGAGTAATTAGGCATTCTTCTGACCGAATAAAGAAAACATCGACTTATATGGATTTCGATCAATGTTGGCTTAATTAACTGTTGTATTTTGTATTTTTTTTTTCCATTTTTAAGCAATTTTCTTTTATTTATAATGCACTATCGATTATATTCTACAGTACCTATTTGTTTTTAATTTGAAAAATGTAACTTTGTTTGAAAAATTATTCTTATTTTTTGTAAAGTTATTAATTTATTTTAAATATATCAAATTACACTTTATTTACATTGATTTCTTTTTATAACTTCCCTTGCCTAGATTAAGGCAAATCTAAAGTGTGTGTTGTAAATCATTGCATTTTTATATAACTTTTAAAAGAATGTCTTGGTAAAATTCAAACGTCTCTAGGACGTCTGAAAAAGACGTCCTTAAGTCTTTCATATGAAACCAGCCAGAGACGTCTCTAGAACGTCTGCAAAAAACGTCTCTAGGACGTCTTGAAAAGACGTCTTTAGGACGTCTGGAATAGACGTCCTCAAGCCTTTCATTTGAGACCAACTAAGGATGTCTTACGGACGAGACTTAAGACGTCTTACGGACGTCCTTAGGACGTCAAAATGCCCGCTGGGGAGTTTTTCTTATGTTTTTCTAATCTTTGACAACCGTCAGATGCCATTGCGGTATTTTTTCCTGAATGGGGAAACACTTTGCATGGTAAACAAAATACTGCTCCTGGATCTTACAATTATTTGACCGTTTTTCATGAATTTACTAAAAAACTGCTACAAAAAAATCTGCCCCAGCACCAAACTACAAACTAATGTCAGCCTAATGGAAGATCCGCTACTGAAAACTACGCATCCTGGCACGATCATTTTCCCCTTTCCTATCTCGTAGAAAAACGGGCAGTATAAGCTCACCTTTAAACAAAATGGCCACAGTCCTAGAATGTCCGGGAAATTTATATTAAAAAAAAAATGTTCTAAAATGTCCTGGAAATATATATTTTTTTGAAATAAAGTTAAAAAATTGCTTTTAATATTGGATTTTTATATATATATATATATATATATATATATATATATATATATATATATATATATATATATATATATATATATATATATATATATATATAAAGTTTATAATAATAGTTTTAATTTAATATTTAACAACAAGAAAGAATTTTCTATGATTTATTACTTATTTAAATTTTTTTTTTATTTTTACTGCTTTCTGAGTACACAACGTTAATAAAACGTTAGAACAGTGTTGCGCGTTGCGTTGCCCCACATCGGTCGCCAACGTTGATTTTATATTATTATGGTTACAAATGTGACGTCTCTAACAACCAAAAAACCACGTTGGCCCAACGTGGTAATTTAAATTGGCATTGCGTAATATTTTACGTTGATTCAATGTTGTATTTTAAGTTATTGCAACGTTATATTTTACGTAGGCGAAACGTTGTTTTTTACGCTCGCACAACGTTATATATAATTTTTTATCGGAATTAAATTTGTTTTACATTTATACGCATATATAATTGTATATATGTACTTATACATACATATTTTATCCATTTAGATGTCTCAACATGGTCTTGGGGTTTATCCTCCTCCGGCTAGTACTAGTACTGCTATATAGGGCCCACATTACCAAGGCCCGCAAAGAACAAGTTCAGCTCACTAAAGAGAATCATAACCCGCTTCGCTGACCAAGAATAAGTGATTTTAGGAAGAACAAAAAATTATAGAGTGAAAGTCAGAAGAAGTCGAGTTAGGAAAATAGCATAAAGAAAGCGGACAGATATTGCACTATATTTTAGAATGTGCAATATTAATTTCAATATGTCAATTTTAATTTTAATTGAAAGTTTTAGATACGTACATATTATACAACGTTTTTATCATTTTTATTTATTTTTATATTGTAATTTATTCCATCATCCGGCTAATTGCCATACTGATGTCCTCATAATAAATACAAGATTTAAAAACGAAAATAAACGAAAAAACGTTTTACAAAGATGTCCATTGAATAAAATATAACCAAAAAACATAAAATAAAAAATCACAAACTCGAAAAAAGAAAAAAGAAAAAACGAAAATGATACAAAATAGTCACATACATCTACTATCTAATTTATGTATTTTTTTCGTATCCCGAAAAAATAAATTTAAAATTGTTATCATAAAGGTATTCGGAGGGGTAGAGCTAGTCTCAAATATTGAAAACATAAAATATTAGTGGCTGTACTTTTGCACATTCGTACATCATTTGAGCAGTATTTTCATTTTTAAGTTTGCACTGTGGACAAAGTTTTTTCTAATCTTAAAATCAAAAAATTTTTCGAGGGTGGGCAATATAAAACATGCTGTTTTAAAGAGAATTTCGCGCGCTTTATTGTTGGTATTTCTTTTATGAAGATTTATAAAGAAACGTTTCCAATCTTTTTCGTTTATATTTTTCATGCTTTCAAAAGAATCTTTCCATTCATAATATTTATAGTTCAAATTTTTCGTTGATTTACTTAATAATTTGTATAGAGTTAAAACAGTTAAGTTTTTATATTCGTATTTTGTTTTACTTTTGGCTATATAAAATGGAGATTTTTTAAAACCATAATTTTGACATTCCGTTAGAATTTTTTATGCTCAATGATTGTTTTTATCATTGAACATAAAAAACATCATTTATCATTGAACGAAAAAATAAATTCCAAAATATAAGGGTAATTTACGAGGACGACCATATTTTAGCAATAAATTTCGAAAAAAACAATCTTAATATTATAGTTATTGGGTTATACCTCTCCTCATCGCGGAATAACCTCTCGTCTCTGGAAGAATATAAAGGTCAACTAGATACTGTTAAAGGTCTAATTGATAGTTACGAAGGTAACGGCAATATAATATTAGCAGGTGACTTCCAATCCTTTCCTCACCAAATGTATGACTTATTTGAAAGATCAAATTCTAAAAGAAATAGTTATTCTGTGCACTTATCGGAATTTTTAAAAACAAATCAATTAGAACTAGTAGATGTAACTAAAGGTTCTGGCCCTAATTATACATATCGACACCAGACACTATCGAATTCGTCATATATTGATCACTTCGCCGTATCAAAATATACAAGTTTTATAAATCTTAAATGCATTGTTCATCCTGAATGCTCAAATAATTTGAGCGACCACCTACCACTATCAATATCAGTTGAAGTTAAGTACACCGAATGCAATACCATTGAACTAGCAGAAGATACTAATATACCTAGCTACGCTTGGAACGATTCTAACTTTATAAATTCTTACAATGTTCATTTAACCAATCGCTTTAACAATCTTAATTTTACTAACGATTATGAATACGACCTTCTCCAAATCTATAAAAAAATTACTGACAGCGCTCAAATAGCTTTTAAGGAGACTTTAAAAAATAAAAAGCAATGTTTGTATTCAAAATCTTGGTGGACACCTGAATTAAGTCGGTCTAAAACTATTCTTTCAATTCATTTTAAAAAATGGAGAGATTCTGGTTTTTCTAAAGAGTTAAACTCGGTATCATTTAACCGTTACCAAATGGCTCGTTAAAACTTTCGTAAAGCCGTCAAGTCGGCTCAAAATAATAAAATTTGCGCACAATATATTAAAATTGAAAAGTTAAAAAATACTAAACCAAAAAACTTTTGGAATGCTTTTAGATGTTTAAACAAAGACATAAATTCTAGATTATTTACCATAAATAATAAAAAAGACAAAGAATTTATTACTTCAGAATTCGCAAACCACTTCGAAAGAGTACTGAATACTCCAAAAATAACTCATCGTAAAGAAAATCAGAGAATTCCCCCGTGTACAAAACATGATGATGTAACAATAACTGAAGAAAATATAATTGGGGCTATTTCAAATTTAAAATTAAAAAAATCTCCTGACTCTTTCGGTATCTCAGCAGAACATTTGAAATACGCAAAGTGCGATACTTTAACAAAATGGCTCATCAAATTTTTTAATTACTCCATTAATTATGGATCGACTCCAATATCAATGTCGACGTCAACTATTGTACCCCTTGTTAAATCGTACAAAAAGTCTTTAGATAGCCCGAGCAACTATCGTGGTATTAGTATTATACCAATTTTTACAAAGGTTCTAGAATACCTGATCTTAATTATATGTCCGGATATTAGAGATACTCACTCCCTACAATTTGGATTCACTGCTAACTCTTCAACGCTACATGCTGAATTTCTAATAAGCGAAACAATTAAACATTACAACAGCAACCATTCCCCTGTGTATCTATGTTCTTTAGATGCAGAAAAAGCTTTTGATAGCTGTAACTGGAATATCCTATTTGAAAAATTATAATTCGATAAAAAAATTACCACTATGTATAGTTAACACTATCTCCTCGTTGTATAACAATAGTAGCGCAACAGTCTCATATCAAGGTTGTAAATCAAACTCTTTTCCTCTAAACCAAGGAGTAAGACAAGGATCAATTCTTTCGCTTCACCTCTATAATATTTACACTGAAAGTCTTCTCGAAACTATTAAAAATCAGGGTATTGTTGGCACATCTATAAACGGTAACTTTACTGGTGTGGTAGCCTATGCGGATGATATATTACTTTTAAGCTCTACCTTATCTGGTCTCAAAAAGCTTATAAAAACATGCAATATTTACAGTAATCTAAATTGTATTAAACTGAATGCCAAAAAGACTGAGTTCTTGATCTTAGGTAAAGCCCAAATACAAACTAATACAATAATAATTTCTGGTAATAAAAAAAATCTTCAGAATAAACTTAGACATCTGGGATTCACATGGGATACTAAACATTCAGTTTTTGCTTCACTCGGTTATTCAAATGTTGATGAAAAAATATCAAACTTTAGAGCTGTTGTTCAAACTCTTATTCAATTTGGAATCCGGTTTGCCCACCCCAGTTCTATTTCCTATATATATAAATCATTGGCAGTCCCCACCTTAACTTATGGTATGGAGCTATGTGAAAATAATCCTGGTCTGATGAAAAAGCTAGATATAATTGGAAGGAGTGCGCTAAAATCGTTTTTAAATGTTTCAAAACATAGTAAAAACTATATGAATTCGTTATTTAAAATCCAGGAAATTTCAAAAAGTGTTCAACAAAATAAGTTAAACTTGTTCCTTCGACTTCTTAATAACAAAACAACTGCAGACATTATCTTTTCACAACTGCAACACCCGTTATTTCAACATTCGTTTGTTAGTGATATTCAGGAACTATGCCATCTTCAGATATTAAATTTTCAAAACCTAATTCAAAATAAAAAGAAGGTAAAAGTACCACTTTCTAAAAGTAAAATTCCTTCCGAAGTTGAACGAAACTTGAAGTATGCAATAGAGTGCTGGAATGCAAAAGAGCAAAGAGGAGTTTTCAAGCAAATTCTGGAAGAAAACGTTTTTAAGCAAAGTCATCCGAAATAACTTTCTTATTTTTTTCTTTTTACCTTGTAAATTGGGTGTTAAATAAATAAAATAATAATAATAAAATAAAAAATGATTCAAAATTTCTTTAATTTTGGTTATAGGTAAAACATGTTTTGATGAGGGGTAATAGTTTAACTTGAGTAGGGATAGTTTCAAATGTGTGTTTGCTTTGGTTTGCATTTCTATAGAGATTTAGTATGTAAACCATAGCATCTTTGCACGGACCACATATACTTTCGTTGTATACTTTGCAAACCCATTGCAGTTGTATGACCTTAAGTTTGTTGGTTAAGCTGTTAACTCCTGCGCCGCCCTCATTTATCTTTTGCTGTGTTTTTTTTTTTGTTTAGTCTACATATTTTACCTCCTCAATAAAATTTTTGTTTCTATTTTATTTAGAATTCGATTGATAGGTAGGGATGCTATAAAAGCCAAATGCAGTGCTTTGAGGGATAATTAAAGAGTTTATGATTGTTTTTCTGGCTTTTAGGGACAAGTTGTATTTTTCCCATTTTTGCAGTGAGTTTTCCACTTTGTTAAACCGCTCCTTCCAGTGTGTTTTGTACTGGAAGTTTGCGTTATTATAACGCTCTTTCCAGTATGTTTCGTACTAGAAGTTTGCGTTATTATAACGCTCGTTCCAGTATGTTTCGTACTGAAAGTTTGCGTTATTATAACGCTCCTTCCAGAACGTTTCGTACTGGAAGTTTGCGTTATTTAAGAAAATAATTCTTAAACTTTTAAAAGTGTTTTCTTTCCAATTGAAATTCAAATACTCGCTTTTGCCTTTAAAAATATTTTTGCCTAACCATATGTCTTGACACTTGGCAAGATTTATTTTAGCGCCTGTGGCTTTTTGGTTGATTCTAAAGCTTTTCCTACTTCTCTAATGGAATCATCTCCGATTAGAAAGAAGTTCGTGTCATCAGCAAGTTGCTGTATTTTTGTTTTTCTCCCTTTAACATGTATACATTTAACATTTTAGTTTTGTCTAACTTAGGATCAAAATATTTCTGCCTGTATGATGTACAATATCATTGACAAAGGACAACCTTGACTTACTTCTCGTAAAATAAATATTTTTTCCTATAAAAAACCGTTTATTTTTACTTTAGCATTTACACTATTATAGAATGTTTTTATAAAAGATGTAAAAACTTTTCCAAATCCAAAATGTTTCAAACTATTAAACAAAAAAGCTCTATCAACGCTATCAAAAACTTTCACCTGATCTATAGAAAGAGTACAAGCATCTAACTTGCTTTTTTCAGCGATGCTAATAATATCTCTCGTATAACTCAGATTATAATACATTGTTCTGTTTTTAACGCACGCAGTTTTGTTGGTATGCATTATGTTTGGTAAAATAACTTTAAGCCTTCTGGCCAAAACTTTTGTTAAAATTTTGTAATCGACATTTGTTAACGAT